GTTGGGGCTCTCTGACTCCACAATCCATTGCTAGGAAAAACCTAAGCAAGTGTTACTACGCCCCTGGTGGCAGGGACCTGAAATTGCAGGCATAGTGTTTGCGGCATTGCTGCTGAACTCCAAACCAGACTTAAGAAGGTTGCAGGGTTTTTTAAAATTTGTGGGTTTTTTTGTTTTGTTTTGTTTATATTTTTTTTGTTCACCCCAAGGAAAGCATTTTTAGTCTTAACATGCAGGAAAAAGAAAACCCAGGATTGTGTCTGCATCTCCCTTGTGCCCCAGACCTGGAACTACTCCGGGACCGACTTACCGAGATTTCTTTTCCCATGCCAATCTGGCTGAGGCTGGGCTTCATGCCTGTGCCCATCTGCCATATTATTGCCTCGGCTGGTTGGGTCTTGAAAGGCCACTCCCTGGCATGGAGCTCGTACCAGATTGTGCTGTTGGCAGACAGGTTAGAGGGTGCTGATGTGGTTCAGCACGCTGACCCTGCACCCTCCTCAGCAACGCCCACCCACCCCGTCCTCCTGGCCGACCACTCCTTTCTCCAATTTCTTCGTCCTGGGGGTGGCATCGTGCCCCCTGGGACCCGCATCAAGCTCTCTCCACCTCTTAGGCATCATACTTATTTGGGGATGCTCTCTGTGATGCCTGAATTAAAATGAACCAAAGCCTAGAAGCTGAATAGTTTGCTAGATACGGTGCGGATCTCTGACCCTGCATCTGTAGTTCTAGGAAACCACTGCAGGTGGATGATTGGGGACATCCATTCCCCAGCCAGGATGTTCTCCACGACATTGTAGATAATACCAAAAAGATGAGAACACAATTCCCAGTAAGAGAATTTGGTTGTCTGTGTCATGGTAAATCCACACAGTGAAATGGAAGATTATGTCATGATGAGAACATTTCAAAGAAATTTTGCTGACATTAAAAAAAATGCTCCACAGATCTTTTCTAAGTTTAAAAAAAGCAGGACACAAGACTGTAGATAGGGTCTGAGGTGACTTTTTAAAAAATCATTATATGCACAAAAGACTAAGATATAACAGTGGAATGTGAACAGGGGCTAACTCTAGACCGTCGGAGTTTTCTTCTTTTAGACTTGAGTTTTCTAAGTAAGAGCCATTCTTTACAAAGATGGAAAGACTAAGAGGAGGAAAACAGGTTTGCAAGTCCGACTGATCGGATTCTTCTAGCGAAATGATACGGAGAGGTGACTTCAGCCCCCAGCACAGGTGTCCTTAGGTGCCAAAAGAGGATTGTGATGAAAGTGGGAGAAAGTGGGAGAACTTTTATCTGGGATGCTGAGCAGTGGAGGAGTTTGATGCCATAGTTATCCGGGGAGGCTTACTGTGTCATCATCTGCTTTATAAATTGTGACGTTGTAATGAGCAGAGAAAAACTTGCTTAAGGTTCAGAGAGGTTGTGTGCCTTATCCAGGACCACACAGCCCATCAGAGGGGCAGCTAGGTGTTGAACCCTGTCCAGTGGACTCAGAGCATGCTGTACTGGGAAGCTTGTACTCTATCCCACTCGAAAGTCCTTTGTCATCAGGGAAGTGAGGATTTGGGGGTACAACCTTGTAGCTGATGATTGGAGCTTGGGGAAGGAGGTACAAATGGATTGTGGGAGAGGGGAGGGTTCCCTTCTGGGGCTCTTCCCTGTCCTGGGTGCCTTCTAGGTGTTTTCTCATTCAGTCCAGAACTCCGCAGTGGGTTTTGTTATCCTTGATTGACATGGGGGGAAGCCGGGCTTTGGCTGGCGACATCACTCCCAAGCCCACTGGGGCTGCAGGGCTGAAGCTCCAGCCGTGGCCACAGGTGTGCATCCCGGCTCCTGCAATGACTGACAGAAGGCCAAGCACCGAGCCATCGGGGGCCTCAGTTTTCTCACCTGCCAATTGGGAAGAACGTGCTCCCCAGGATACATCACCATGGCAGGAGACGGGGCGCACACAGAGAAAAGCTCAACGCAGCGCTCAACCCACTTTTAAAAGTTCCGTGTTGCTCTCAGTCATCCCTGAGCACGAGGCTCCCGAGCAACAGGATGCTCCTAATTGGCAGGAACCCAAGAGCGCCAGGTCCTTCGCAATTCAGCAGTGTCAGAAATAAAACCCTCATTAAAACTTCCTTTCAAACCTAACTTTAAGAGAAATTCACTTGCAGAAAAAAAGAATTGCTCAAGATGAAAATTCCAGTGGAAAACCAATTACTTACTCGGGTACATTTTGTTAATTGCTTTTTTTTTTTTTTTTTCCCCGAGTGCTAAATGTACACTAAAATATACCAACTTAATTACTGCAATTTGGTTTCAGATAACAATATCTAACTAGATAAAGATTTGGGCATTAACTAATCAAGGCGAGTGACAGCCTTTCATGGGGCCCAAGTGACAGATGTTGAGAATCCTGGTCTCCTCAAAAACCAAGCATCGGGGGGGTGGACGGGGAGGGGGCGGTGGGGGTGCTTTGCCAAGGGAGACTGTCTCTCTGTCGAGTCTCAGCAAAACCGAAACATCTACAGGCCTGCGATGTGCCCAGACCCTTCCCCAGCATGGCCCCCAGCCCTTGGGTCCACGCCATGGACAAGACCAAGCAAAGATGAGCCACACCCCAACCCCAAGAGAGGACCTTGAATGTTTCTATCACAAAGCAATTAAAGAATGACAAGTGATAACTGTTTCAGGCAAAGGATAGGCTAATTATCCTGATTTGATCATGACACAAGTACCCAGGTATTGAAATGCTACATTGTACCCCCCGTAAATACATGCAATGATTCTGCACCAATTGTACCTAAGATAAAACTTTTAAAATAGAACACGGAGGAGGTGCTACTATGTAATCTCTGAGATGAGGTCCAGGGGTCACCCAGGTTCCTAGTGGCCATGCTATTAGCTCACTCAGGCACATGAGGTGAGGGAGGAGCTGAGGCCTGCCCCTGACAGCTATGTGGGTGGCCACCTGGGAAATAGCTCTTGAGTCCACCCAGCCTTCTGAGGAGACAGAGCCCTGGCACTGCCACCTCGTGACAAACCAAGGACAACTTGAGAGTCACTCAGGAAACCTCCCTCAAATCCCTGACCTAAGAAACCAGAGATGAGAGATTTGTCCTGTGTTGCTCAGTTTGGGGGAAATTTGTTACGCAGCAATCGATAACAGATACAACCCTGAATCTTACATCAGCAGCATCTGATGCTGTCCTAGCACACTGGCGGTATTCGGTACATAGTTATGGAATGAGTGAATGGGTTGGGTAACTAGTTATGGCCACAGAACACCCCACTCAGATCCCCCCAGGGCACTCAGATCCAGCCACTGTGCCCCCCCCCCCCAGGTGCCCTTGGCCCTTGCAAATGCCTCAAAGGAAGTCTAGGGGAGTGACCTCTGCCCAGGCGGTGGCTCCTGACGGCCCCGGGGGGCCACCTACCCGAGTGCAAAGACGTCCGAGTGCTTGGAGAACGGAAGCTTGTCCTCCTCTGTGTCGGGGGACAGCTGGCGGATGATCTCCGGTGCCAGGTGGCACAGCCAGCCGTTCTGAATGCGCAGTTTGTCTTCTCGCCTGGAGAAGCGAAGCACAGAGTGAGCTCAGTTTTACAGCCCAGAGGACGAGTCCCCCCACCCCTGACCCGAGTCCCCAGAGCCCGCTCTTCTGGTTTTCTTGCTTCCCTCCTGTGGACACCCCCTGATCCTCCACGGGAGGCCGAGACCCAGGGGAAGGTGCAGGAAGAGAGGTAAAGGGAGCATGACTGAGAGAGCTCAGCCTCCAGACCACCACTGGGTCTCCTTGGAGGGACCCGGGCTCGGCTGGACCCAAGCTGCAGCCGTGGGAACCCAGCCAAGCTGAGGGTTCACTGGGCCTCAGCCCGCCGGGGCGTTGGTCAGTGGCTTAGCACAGATGTGCTACACCAGGAACTCGGCCCCTGTCCCCGCCTGCAGCCCCATGCTAGGAGGAGACTGGCCCGTAAGTGACAGGCTACTTAAGTGGCCAGATGATACCAACACCTCTGTTCTCAGCCTTGGCATGATTGGCACTTAGGTCTGGAGAGCTCTTTGTCACGGGCTGTCCTCTGCAGTGTGGCAGCACGGCTGTCCCCCACGCCCCCTGTAGAGACAACTAAAAACGTCTCCAGACGTTGCCAAAGGGACCCTGGCTATGGGGCCCGACAGCCCTGGTGAGAATCGCTGTTCTCATCTAAAACCACAGAACAAACAATGGCCTAAAATCCAGTGTTTCCTCATTAAAAACCCGAGGCTGGCCCCTGGGTCATGCACCACGGCCAGGCCAGGCCACGTCCTCGGCTAGAAGGACCCACGGGTGAACCCTGGAGCCGCAGAGTGGAGGGGGTTCTCACTTCCAGAATCAGGGGCACCTGAGAGGCCCAAGGATCTCGTGTTGCTGGCCGCCTGAGGGACGCTGAGCAGCCTCGGGCCCTCACTGCCCATCTGCAAACGGGGCACAGCAATCTGCAGTCCCACGGCTGGTGCAGGGCGGCCGCCAGGGCCAGGTGAGGAGGACACGCTCATGACCTGGGCTGCCCCGCGTCCCTGTACGCACGCAGCATGTGTGACTTGGAGAACGTGGGGTCATGTATGCAGTCAGTGTGCACGTGGCGCACCAGGTCGCAGGTGTTGTGTGTGTATCCTGGGAGTGGACCAGCCATTCTCCTCACAGGACAGAGGTCATCGGGGACGGGTGGCCTGCTGTGGTCACAAGGGCAAGTTTGCCTGTTCCCATATCACCCCCAAATGCCTGTCCTACTCTTTCTGCCTCGCTGGGTCAGCCGAAGACCGGCATTTAGGGGTCACCAGGACAGGAGGAGTGTGCCACATAAGCACCATCAGCCGGGACAGGCATGGGCCCATGCCTTGGAGGGGACCAGGTGCCACGCCTGGCACAGATGCCCTGGGGTGCCACGTTCCCATGGTGACGGTCCTCCAAGGGCGAGCCCGAGTCATCTTCACGATGATGATGATTATTATTAATCACAGGCTGCGGACGGCTGGCGCGAGGGGGCTGGCCCCGTCAATGTCACCTCTTGGGCGGCTGGGGCAAGGGGCTGGCCCCGTCAATGCCACCTTTTCTTGGTGGCAGCAGAACAGCTGTGTGCTGGGGTCTCTCTGGATGTGCAGAGCACGCTCCCTTTAAAGTGACCCAATAAAATGAGCACGCCCCAGGCCAGGCATGTCCTCTGCTGAGCACCGGCTGTATACCAGGTTTCCTGTCCTATGTAAACCCACCCTGGAAGGGCGCCATGTCTATTCCACAGGTGAGGAGACAGGCTCAGTCCTCTAAGCGACCTGCCCAGGGTCACGGAGGTAATAAGTATTAAAAGAGCCAGGGCCAGTGTGACTGTGTCGCCGTTTCCCCCACCCCCGACCCTGGACAGACACCCTGAGAATGCCACCTGAGCTCTGGGGGACAGCACCCCTAGGAAGCAAATCCCAAGCCCTCGTAATCGGTCATGTTTCATCTTTGAAATCGCCAGGTGAAGTAGGCACTGTGGATGCCTGCCTCCCACGCCCATTTCACAGAGCAGGAAACCGAGGCTCGGGGGGTCAGATGTGTATTTAATAAAAATAAGTTGCTGTCATCTATTCCCGTTGTGTTTATGGATGGCATGGGTCCCTCTTGAAGTTCATTTGCTCAAGCCCTGACCCCTGACGTGACTGGGACTGAAGATAGGATTTTTATGGGAAAGGAATTAAGTCTGGGGCCCTCATCTAATAGGACTTGGGTCCTTATAAGAAAAGGAGGAGTCCTCATAGATCTCTCTTTTCCTGAGTCACAGAGAGGCCCTGTGAGGTCACTGTGAGAAGGAAGAGAACCCTCGTCAGAAACTGAGCTGTCACACCTTGATCTGGAACTTTCTAGTCCCAGAGCTGTGAGAAAATAAAGATGGGTCTTTGAAGCCGAGCAGCCTGTGGCGTTTTGTTACAGCAGCCCGGGCGCACTAATACCTCATATCACCCAGGCCCATCTCATGAGGGCTCGTTCAGGCAGCTCCCTGCAACACCTGCACCGGGCCAGGGCTCCCCCTTCCACTTCTATCATCCTGTGGTCCCCAGGCTGCCAATCAGGGCCCCAGAAGCCCCCTGTTTAAGGGGTGACTCCTAGACTCCAGTTACTGCCCTGGGAGCTCCAGCTTGGGGCAATCCCTGCCTGGAGAGGCCTCTTCACACACAGGAGGCAGGCGGCTGTGACCTGATGCCCAGCAGGGGACTTGCAGAGCCCCAGAGCTACCGTGGAGGTAGAGGTTATGGGAAAAGCTCTGGGGCTCATGGGACACCATCCTGCCTGTCATGGTCCCCATCCTGCCTTGGAGACTGTGGAAGATGAAAGAAGGCCACCGTAAGTCACTGTGACCTCTCCCTCTGCTCCCCTTGAATCTGTGCTGGCCTTGGGTGACCTGACTGTTGTGGGAGGAGTGTTTGGAGACCTCAGAGGTGAGGTCTCTAGCAGGTTTGCAGCCTCCTCCAGGCACCTCCAATGCTCCAGCTGACGGAACCCAGCTGCTGCCGGAGAGCCTGGCCACCCGGAGACCAGTACAGAGGGGAGCCCAGTGCAGTCCCAGAGACAGGGAAGAGGAGGGGACGTGAGCGAGAGAGTAAGAGGAGGGGGAGAGAACGGGGGGAGGCCTCCCCCAGGCCCCTGCTGCCCCAGCCACCCCCACCCAGAGGCCCAGACACGTGCAGAAGGCTTGCGGTCAACTCCAAGTTCAACCCTCCGGGCTGCACCTCCGCAGCTCCAGCCACCGAGGCTCAACGGAGCCCGTCGATCCACAGAGCCACAGGAATGACAGCAGCTGGCTTTAAGCCTCCAGGCTCGGGATGGCCTTTGACCTGATAACACAGAACTGGGCCAGGGGTAAAACCCAGGAAGCCACCCACAGCTCTGCGGGGACAGCTGGGAAGCCCGGTCTCCTCTGACTGGTCTGCAGTGACAAGAGGCTGGGCTGGGGCTGGGGACGGGGTGACTTGGCTGATCTTTCTTCCGGGTGGACACTGGGTGTCCGTGGGAGCTGAAGGAAAGAGCACTCAGGTCGTCTGTCACCCCATGTCGTCCTCTGGCAACACTTGGGGTCCACCACCTACTTCCTCAGCCCAGGCAGGTTGTGCACCACACGAAACGGCCAAGTCTGGGCAGATTTCGGGGGATCTGGCTTGGAGCCAGGCATCAGAGAGCAGGCGCACAATCCCCCCGAGGGGTGCTGGGGTGCACCTCCAGGAAATCAATGGTGGCCCAAAGCGGCTGAAAGGAAAGAGACACCCTCCAGGAGAGACAGGCCGCTCCTTCTAAGATGCATGATGAGAGGAAACACACAGGGGTTCAAAGTGTGTCAGTGTGTGTGTGTGTGTGTGTGTGTGTGTGTGTGCAGAAAAACATACGCTCCAAATTAATCGTCGCAAGCCTAGACCTGAATCATAGGTGGCTTATTGGGGCTCTCGCTGGTTCTCCGTGGTCAACTCCGTGTGGCCTGCTCTAGGGCAAAGGGCAGTGGAGTTGATTGCTCAGCTGTGGTTAATCTTTCCCCGGGGACCACTGGGGCGGTCTATGCAAATTAATCCTCCCGGGACTTGCCGGCTGCTTGTCCGCATCACGCTCTCTTGTCACTGAAGAACCTTCTAGTAGCATCATTTTCTTGTCGGCAAGGAAACCCAAGTTCAGGGACACTGGGCACCTTGACTAAAGTCACAGTTAATAAGTGGCAGAGCCACATTAGGCCCCATGTGGTCTGACTTTCAATCCTCGGTTCTTAACTGTGCTCTGGCTGGACTAAAATTAATGAGTTCCTCAGGCAGCGTTCAACAAGGGCTCTCGGGCGACTCCAGCTTCCTGTCATTTAGGGTGAGTTAGACGCAAGGGCCCGGGCCTGGCAGGACTTAGGGATGCTCTGAGCTCAGTGACATGCACTCCCAAGTGCCATGTGCAGGACAGGGGAGCAAGGTGCTGCTGCCCAGCCGCTCAGGTCTGTGACCCCCGCTCAGGTCTGTGACCCCCACACCAAATCCAGGTCACCCGAGATATCTGGGGTGAGTTCAGCCATCCACCACACCTCTGGGCCCTTCCGCCACCTCTCACCTGCCAGCCTGCAGCACCCCGGAAATGCTGAAGAGCCCAAAGTCCGTGATGACCACTTTGCCATTGTCGTAGAAGACGTTCTTGGATTTGAGGTCCTTGTGAAGGATCCCCTTGGCGTGGAGGTAACCCATGCCCTGCAAAACACACGGGGCCCCCCCGTCGGTCACCCTCGTGGGGGGTGCACTCCTGTCCCGTCACCCTTGGAGCCTGGAAGTGGGGTGGGGGCAGGCATGACAGGGGGAACAGATCACCCCCCCATCACCCACCTGCCACCCCTCTCAGACCACTTCAAAGCCATCTCCACTTGGCTGGCTGGCTTAAGAGGGGGCAAGGTCCCCAGAGGAAGAAATGCCATCAGCCACCTTCTCCCACTTCCCCTTTAAACACTAACTCCTCTGCAGTTCCTGCTCGTTCCCAGGGAGACGAGGAGCAGGGTCTGCTCCTGGGGGTCTGGTTCAAGGGCAAGCACAGGTTTTGTTGGTCTTTGTGAACAAGCTCATCCTCCGCGTCTTCTCAGGTCTTCTAACTCTTCCAATGGGCAGTAGAAGTGCAAGACCAACTGACTCACAAGGTACCTGCAGGAAACCCAGGGTCTTCCTGCTTGTTTTAATCCCAAAGGGACACCCGAGGTCCCTCGATTCCCCAGCAGCTGTGCAGGGACATCATCTGTGCTGGTGGGAATTCAAGGACTCCAAGAAAACGGATCCTAACCCAAGAACTGAGCAACCTTGTGCCCACTGGCCCTCGCAGATGTCAGAGCACCCTGACAATGAGATGCCAAACAGAGACCAAAGGCCACTCCCAATGGTCCTATCAACAAAATCCTGACTTTTTGCACAATCTGGTATATATATATTGGCAGATACCGGGATTGGACTCTGGGGCACTTGATCACTAAGCCACATCCCCAGCCCTATTTTGGATTTTATTGTGAGACAGGGTCTCCCTGAGTTGCTTAGCGCCTTGCTTTGGCTGAGGCTGGCTTTGAATTCACGATCCTCCTGCCTCAGCCTCCCGAGCTGCTGGGATTATAGCTTGCACCACTGCGCCCTGCACAATCTGGCATTTTTCAGGTCAAGTCTGATCTCTTTGAAGTCCTGGTGGGCCAAACCCAGAACCTGAGTGTCAGGATCCCCAGGGTTTCCCAGGAGGGTGCAGGGGAGGGGTGCAGCGCCTACTGTACCTTCACAATTTCCTGAGCGATCTGTCTGGTTTTGTTGACATCCAGGACGATCTTGGCGTCCCTCACCACCGAATAGAGTGTCCGTCCCTTACAGAGACTGCAAAGCAAAAGGACAAGACGGTTTACTGAAAAGATTGGCAGTTGTTAAGAAGTGACCCTCTGCAGTGACGAGAAGTCACAGATAATTGGGTGGAAGGGCCGCTCTGTACCCATAGGTTAATGACCGATGACCCGGGACCAAACCTCAGATCTGGTTCTGGGATGAAGACCTGGGGCAGAGGTTCTCAGATTCTTCGAGAATTCCCAACAACTTCCCGGGACGCAAAGACCCCTGCAGAGTCTAGCCCCGTCCAGAGAGGGGGTGGCCACCGGCTGTCTATCCCAGGGTCCCACCAATGGAAAGCCGTGCAGCAACCACCCAGCGGATGGTGGGTCTTCAGCTGTCACTCAGACAGCTCTCTGCCTGCCCGTGTGTGGGGACAGTGACGGGAGACTAACAGTGTGGCAGCTGATGTGTGCTAAGGACCATCAGCAAATGGCGCCTTGGTCCTCGAGGCCGGGGCGTGTAAGCCCCAGTTACACCCCCCAAACCAGACGCCTGTCTAGATGGAGGGTTTTCACACCATTTTCAGCCTCATTGAGTTCATTTCGAGTTCATTTCAAGATGAATGACAGGATGGGAAAAGGGACATTATGCAGTGACGGTAACACCTCTCATTTAGCCTCTCGCCTCCTCCATCCTGCTCCTCCGCTGTGAGCCCCCGTCTGGGCACACACACACACACACGGGTAGAGGATGACAAGTGGATGAATGAATGAATTCTAGATTCACCACGGTGTCCCTGGCCCCCTGCACTGGGACTGGCTGAATGAAGAATGTCATCATCAAAAGCCCTGGTTGTGTATTCAGTTTTGTTGAAATTTGCATTTCCTGTAGTTGAGCCAGAACTGTGGAAGCATCTCAGAATCCCAGCCCTGTTCTTCACTTACTGTGTGTCTTAGGATGGGTTACTGAACCTCTCTGGGCCTTAGTTTCCTCTTAGTGATGCACACCTTGTAGTTGAACTTGAGGATTGAATGACATAAAAGAGTTGAGAACAATGCTTAGCTCTTGGTGGGAAGCACATATCATGCCTGTTAGGCACACAGGGGTCTAGAGTCAGACACTACTGGGTTAGGATCCTCATCTGTCAGGTGCTGGCTGTGTAACCCCAGGGAAGTTTAGTTCCCCTCTCTGCGCCTCAATGTCATTATTTGTAAAATGGGGCCAAAGGTTCCTGTCTCTTAGGATTATTGAGAACCACCTGAACTCGGATGTGACAGGGAGTAGGCACTTCTTCATGCCTGACACATATGCTGTGCAAACATATAAATGATATATTTCTACACATTTCACACTACCCCTACCCTGTATCTCCAATCTACCCCCCCATAAACATACCCATCCCCAATGCTCCCTATAGCAGCCATGATCATATATATATGTATTTTTTTGGGGGGGGGAGGGGATTGATCCCAGGGGCCCTTAACCATTGAGTCTCATCCCCAGCCCTTTGAATATTTTATTTAGAGACAGGGTCTCCTTGAGTTGCTTAGGGCCTCACTAAGTTGCTGAGGCTGGCTTTGAACCCACGATCCTCCTGCCTCAGCCTCCCAATCCGCTGGGATGACAGGCACGCACCCCTGCACCAGGCAGTTTGACGGAGGCGGGCTTCTTCACCTGCCTAAGGTGAGAGTCCAGGGGCAGCTGCATGTGTCCAGACAGGGAGTGTGATTCACCTGTCCAGGGTCACCCATACTCCTCAGGAGGCTGCCCAGATGACTCAAGGCTGTCCCCCCTCTTCTGTCCCTGCTGGGGTGTTTGCTGAGCTGCTGGGGGGGGTGGGCCCAGCAGCCAATTAAGACATATTGACATTTAAATATCGGCGGTGGCGGAGATGTGGGTGGATTCCCTCCCCTGAGGACTTTGTTCTGAAGAGCCACCTACACTCATTACAGGCCAGGGCCCTCCCCGCTGCTGCTGCAGAGCAAATGACAGCAACAGGCTCCAAGACTCCCAGAGTCTCTCCAGCATCACCCGCGTGAAAGTCACAAGCACCGCCAGTTTGTCTTTAGCCCCGACAAGCCAGCACAGACAGGTGGGGTAGGAATGGGGCAGCCCCCCTTGGCCGCATCCACCCAGTGAAATCCACTGAGAGCCCAGGGTCAGCGACTCCCCCGAGTCCGCCAGGTCACTAGCCACCCATTCCCGATGGCAACAGCCTGACTCACGGTGTTCCCCGGGGATTCCCAGGTGGACACCCTCACCTGGCCCTCAGCTGGAGGTGACCAGGCTGCAGAGCCCCTGGGATGGGACCAGGGCTTTAATAAAGGGCCTCCACAGAGTGCCACTGCTCCCTGTGGCATCACGATGAGGTGGCCCTTGGGACCCAAGGAGAGTCCTCGTTGGAGCCGGACGGTGCCGGGACCCCAATCTCACACTTCCATCCTCCAAACCCTAAGAGGACATTTCTGCTGTCCACCAGCCACCCAGGCCGCGGTGCTCGGTTACAGCACCCAAACTCAGACCCAGCCCAGTGTTCACCAGCGGAACCACGGACAGACTGCCATCTGGCCACCCAAGGGAATCCGTCCACAGCACACGGTGTGAAAACAAACCACTGCTCACGGCCAACAGCAGGGACGAGCCCACAAACACAGCACTTGAAGCCAGATACACGAGACCTCGGGAAGATTGTGACGCTATCAAGTGCCGAGCGCAGGAGACTCATCTGTGTGCTGAAAGCTATTATAGGACTGAGCGTGTGTGTGTGTGTGTGTGTGTGTGTGCGTGTGTGTGCACACATGTGTGTGTCAGAGGGAGGCTGGAAGGAGCCTTTGGGGACTGGGACAGGCAGGGACTGAGTGGAAACTCCGTGGGCTGGGCTCCCCTGGTCTGGCCACGCGTGTAGGTGTGTGATCTTTAGAGAGGGTCCCTTTAAAATTTTCAGCAAGAAAGGGATGAGCAATTGGTCCATGGCGACCAGCGACGGTCACCTAAGGGATCCATTTCTCAATCCTTCATAAGCATTTTTCTATAGAAAAAATAAACCCCGGGCTCCAGGCCTGGCGGCAACCCACGCAGGTCTTTATTAGCGGCCGGGGTAGGGACAGGCGCAGGGGGAAGGCCAGCCCGGCCAAGCAGGCAGCGCAGCCCAGGGTGACCGAGGCCGAGAGCCCGGGTGTCCATGGAAACTGCTCTGAGCAGGGAATTCTCGTGGTTGGCAACGGTGCCCTGGTAGCAGGGGGTGGGGAGAAGAGGGTGTGAAGGGGTTCACCGAGCACGTGTCGGGAGCCAGGCTCACCTGGACCCTCCTGCGAGGTCTTCATTACCACCCTATTTTACATGAGGCCTGGAGGCCACCAGGAGCAAGGACCACTGTCCACACATGGCCACGATGGCCACACGTGGCTGTCCCCACCCTCCTCTCAGAGGTGAGCAGACTGAGCCTGAATCCCCTCTGCCATTGACCGCATGTTGAACAACGGTGGCTCCAGCCTCGGTTTTCTCATCTGTAAAATGGGACAGCAGAAGCAGCGGCCCAAGCTAACACAGACCGAGAGCCTTCTAGGCTCCGCGCACCTCCCATTTCAGCGTCTCAGAGACCAGTGTGCGTTTTGCAACTGCCCGTAGGACACAGTTTCTCTGGCACTGTTTCTTTCTTTGTAGTCCATAAAACCAATGATGCCTAGTCTAACGGAGGGCATCTCAGATTCAATGAAGTGTGGTACCAGCTCTACAGAGGAAGAAACTGAG